CCCCGAGGTAAAACCTGAGGCTGTTTACTATGGCTCCAAAGGTCAAAATTAATAGCGTGAATTGAGTCTTCTTCTTGCTCTTTGAAACTCCTTGTCAAGTGGCACAGCCAGCTGGGCACACAACTCTGATATGCAGATCATAACGCTTGTGAACAGAAAAAATGAATTACAATGAGCACAGTCTATCATATTTCGAATCTCTAAAGGGCAGGAACCTCTCTTTTTAACCCAAACACTGTCCAAATGCCTCCTCTTACAGTCCCTTCCAGGCCGTTCAAGCGCCTCCAGAATCTGTGCTACATCTCATTAGCAAACAGCTCTGGAAGCCAACTCAAAGTTAGTAAAACCATAATTACCCTAAGCACAGGGCAGGGTAGTGACTATACAACAAAAATAATAGTATTAGCTACCAGTATGTAAAATATTCAAATGTATTATTTCATTTTGACCACCACTAGCTGAATAAATATTGGTATTTCCATTTTAAAGATGAGGAACTAGACAAATGGGGAGGATAAATCATTTGCCCAGGTAAAGCCAAGATTCTTACCTGGGTCTAACACCCACTACTCCGAGATTAAGAACCTTAAGAAGAAATAAACGGAAATGGTGCTATATTACCAAATTACTACCCGAAACAGAGGGAAGGTCAGCCATGTTGGAGAAAACTCAAAGCTGTCATGAGACTTTCACAAACCACAACTGGTGACCTGTGCATCGCACAGAGAGATGTAGCACCTGGTAAGTTCTAGTTAGCATTTTCTGAGGCAATAACGGTAAGAAAAGCCATCCTGGACGATCAATAACTCTCCCACTTTGGGAAAAGCTGCCTCCGGCACTAGCTCCTCACTACCGCTCTCGTGCCCTTGACAGTGAAACCACCACCTCTACGGCACGCCAATCACACCACCTGCCGTAGGAGTGCGGCAGTCCTCCACGCCGACACCACGTACACTGCGTCGTAGCAATGCCACCCCCCCCCCCGTACCAGAGACCGAAACAGCTGGTTTAGGAATGTCATCCACGCACCTCACCGCTGTCCACCCGCCCCCGCCCCCACCCAACACCTCCTCCCATGGGTTACTCCCTACGTGCAGGGCACTGCAGGAAACCCTAACACTCTCACTCTCTCAGCACCTGAGCAGTCCTCCAGGGCTGAGAGCCGTCCACGGCTCTACCTCTCGCAGGGAATCACAGTACCAAAGCACAGAGCTGTGCCGATCACGGAACAAGCGCTCGCTCCGGCTGCGCGTGCTCTAAAACTGGACCGACACAGAGAGGGCAGCACAGCCCTGTGCGTGGATGGCGCACGTACCCACGAAGTGTGCCATATTTTTTTAATATGAAATGAGATTTCCTGTTAAGCAAATTACAAAGCACCAGTCAAAAATCATATGCATTTAGGGCAATGGGTCTTAACCCTAGCTGCCTACTGGAGTCACCGGGGAACTTTAAAATAATGCCAAGGCCTGGCTTGTCCCAGATCAATTAAATTGCAATCTTGGGGAGTGGGGCCCAGCATAAGTATATATATTTTAAATATTTTATTTATTTTTTTAAGAGGGAGGGAAAGAGAGACAAAGAGGGAGAGAAACCCCCATCAGCTAACTGCCTCTCAAGCACACCCTGACCAGGGACCAGACCCGCAACCCAGGCAGGTGCCTTGACCAGGAATCGAACCTGCAACCTTTTGCCTCACCCTGCCCAACCCACTGAGCCACACCGGTAGGGCCCAGCACGGATATCCTTTTTAAAGCTTCTCAGGTGATTCCAAGTGTAGTCAGGGTTGAAAACGACCAAACATAAGTATTTCTAGAGAGGTATTTCTGAAACCCTCTGAACCACGAAACTGCTGGGTGGCACAAACACCCCAAAGACTCCCTCCCCATCAAACGCACCTGCCATCAGGGCCATATTAAAATGAAACATCAATAAAATGATCTCTTAAAATCATGGTCTCATTATTTCTTTGTTTATAGCAATGAGATACGAGACAAGAGAGAGCCCTGAGGTCGTCCCGGCCCCCAGCGGCCCCCGGGCCCCGTGCGGAGCACCAGAGCTGTATAATGAACGCCCTGGCAGTGAGGAGGCGCTCAGGGGTCCTCACTGTCCTGCAGCTGAGTGCGGGGACTGTGGCAGCGGCCGTGTCCGGGCAGGAAGCAGCCTCAGCTCAGTAACCCAACAGGAGGAAACCTTCACAGTTCGGGCACGATCATCAAACTCTTTGTGCTCTTAAAGGAGAGTAATTATAGGCATGTGAAAAAAGAAAAGCACTCCCCGAGGAACTCTTCCTCACATGCTTCCCAAGAGGTACCAGGGCCATTAAAAATTCCATGATGAAGAGGAAAAACAGCCTGGGAACAGCCAGGAGGCAATACAGCAAATTAATACACCAGCCCTCCTCGGGGAAAGCTGTGATAAAACAGGAAACACTTCTCTATTCGCAAAATAAAATTATACCACTAATGATAACACAGTCACCACCGTACACACACAAATCGTTCTAATGATGGGTGTGAAATTCCCAATGCTGCCCAAATGCTTTGAAAGAAATTTTTCCTACTGCAGATAAAATGGAACAAGAAAAAGATAAAATTTCCATTCGAAACAGTTTTTAGCACGCTCATTCACCTGCCTGTTCCCGACCACCACCACTCTAATGTCCCCCTCCTAGGGGCCGGGCTTTGTCAAGTCACCCACTCTTCACAAAGCACACCACCTGGTTCTGAATCCAGTCCCACCCACCAGCCCCACTGGAACTAGGCTGCCGCTTCTCTACTGACCACACGCTGGGCAGGGACCCTACTATTTCAAAGAAATGAGAGGGAGCCCCAGGGGCTCCGTGTTTCACTATCCACATTTTCTAAAACTACAGAGAGGCCACTTGTGCCAACCACTCCCATAGATCAGTGGCCGGCAAACTCCACTGAGTGTGTGCCTTCGTGATTTAAAAATCTGAACACTGTGTGTCTATGTAGCACATGCACATAACACAAAAATATATGCCGCTAGTCTAACGTATGTACAATTTAAAACAAAAACCTCATACGTGCAACCCACGTTGTATCCGCTACCCTAGAAATGAGGACTCGAAAGACAGACTGAGCCATAATCGTCCACGTTCCCTCACTGTGCTTGTAGCAATAAGCTGTATTTCCCTAGAGCTGAGTCACCAACGCGTACCCTAGACTTCCTTATGCTTCTCAGTGCAGCTACAAGCACTGCCAGCAAGAGAGTGAAAACAAGGGTGTGGATAACGAGGTACACAAAGAAACAAGCGGCTGACACCCACTCTAGCTGCCATAAGGCGTCAGAGGCAAGAGGTACCCAACGAAAGCACGGACACCGAGCACAGCCCAGCTCCAGGTAGTGGAGGTCAGGGACGGCAGGCTAACAATCCACCCTCAGCTCCAACACGACTCCAGGCCACTTAGAGTCTTCCCAAAGACCATACGTGGCCATTATTTTATTTAGTATTAAGACTAGAAGCTTGAGGACTGCTTTCCTATAAATGGAAGTCTTGTGTCTTCCAAGACAGCCTGACCACCACCTCACTAAGCAAACCTCCCTGAGCCTCTGAGTTAGGAGCCCTCCTCTGTGCTTCGCATCTTTCTGGCACACACCTTTCCACACTCACTACTCTGAACTGTAATGGTCAATTTCCACACCTGACTTTCCCATGAGCATGGGAGCTCCTTAAGGGCAGTACCTAACCAAAGAGCCTGGCACATACTAGAGGAATCAGCAAACATTGAATGAATGAATGAATGAATGAATGAATGAATGAACTGCATGCTACTGAAGAAAAGGCTCATGTCAACATCCCACAATGTTCTCCTTTTCCAGTAACACCATCTGTGATGGTCTCCTCAACAGACTTTCCCCAGTAACGACTACTTCTCCAGTCGAAGCTCTGGGAGCTGTTAATGGTACAGAGTTTACTGCCATAGCCCACAGTGGAAGTTCTAATCATAGCCATGAAAGAATAACTTCTTTGTGCACTCTGTAACCCAAATCTATGAACATGTCCATGTAATAATGTATTAGAAAGAAGAAACAACCATTAGCCCTTGGAAAGAAGTTCTCTGTGCCACTAGAAAGAATAAAAGTCTTTTGGTTCAGCCTATCAACTGCCCTTTTGGGCACAATAACCCTGCTAGGGAATCCTACAATTAAAGCCATATTTACTATGTTTGTTGCCTAACTTAAGAGAGTGAATACTGAGAGGTGCTACAATCATTCTGCTATGTAGGCTTAGGACTGATTCTGACAAATACATACAGACACTGCGGGTTAGATGCTAGGGCCGTATCAGGGAACGAGACAAGGTCCCTGCACTTTCAAGTTTCTATTCTTGTCGGGGGAGGGAGAGGGGGCAGGGGATGCCCAATAAAGTCATTAGTGACGGCGTTAAAGCTCTAAAAATACAGATAATAAGCAGAGAGTGGTAGCAATGGCCCCTGCAATAGGATGGCTGAGAGGTTCTCGAGGAGGTGGCCCAAGCTGAGAAGAGGAGCCAATCCTGGGAACTGCTCTATGACCGCAGTCCGAGCAAAGGGAGCAGGTGGAAGGCCAGACGCGGGACAGGGCTGTTTCAGAAGAGCGGAGTGGAGCTCCGGGGTGCAGGGGAGGAGGAGTCTCAGGAAGGGATCCACACACACAGGCAGCAGCAGTCAGACTGTGCAGGGTTTCATGGGCCATAACAAGGACCGTCAATAACGGTCTGCGAAGATGGGCTTGTAGCAGAAGAAACATGAAATACGAGCCAGAAGACTTAGGTCATAAGTTGACACTTAAATCGCATACTCGTTACGTGACTACAGGAAAGCTACCTCGCCGCTTTGCCTCACTTTCTGCATCTGTAAAACATCCACTGACCCCAAAAGCTTACTGCAAAGACCAAATTGGATACTACACACAAACATACTTCATCATTTAAAAAGTGTTGTAAAAAGGACACTGGTATTGTCCGGAAGCATCAGCTGCTAGAAGACAGTTACCTGGCAGAGCACTGTGCCGGGGAACACCTTCGGTGAGAAGCATCGGCGAGAACGTCCAGGGAGTAGAGGGGAGAGAGGGGATTAAACTGCAAAAATAAACAAGATTATTTTAGTAAGGCTTATATGAAACAGACCTGACCTTAAAGGACAACCTGCTATTTGATGACCACACCCCTCCGACCATCCCACACACACCATGCAGTAAGGTCGCGCGTGTCCAGCGGCGCACCCCAGCACCCCTTGTCTACCACGCCTAGAAAAAAGACTCTTCTTCTTCAGAAACTTCTGATAACAGTAACCACTCAAATGGCAGAAGACAGTACAAACACGGGGTCGTCAGGGGTGCCAACCCCCAGTACAGTCGAACATCCACGTATAACTTCTGACTTCCCCAGACTTAACTACTGTTGACCGGAAGCCTTGCTGACAACACGAACAGTCGGTTAACACATATTGTGTATGTTACATGTATTACATACTGTACTCCTACTGGAAAAAAGCTAGAACTCTCAAAGAAAATCATGAAGAGAAAATAAATTTCAGTATTTAGTTTTAAAAATCTGTGCATAAGTGGACCTGCACAGTTCGAATCCCTGGTGGCCAAGAACCAGCTGGACTTCTGATGAACAGAAACATGGGCCCCCTGAGCACCAGCCTTTGTGGCGAAGAAGCCTACGTGGAATTACCTTTTCACTTCCCTGTCCCGGCGAACGTCTCCAGTGAACAGCTGGTAGCACACACCAGCAGCCGAGGGCAGGGAGGACGGAACTACTTTAAGAATCAGAATAACTAACACTCAGTTCCAGTCTAGCACTGAGTTCCCGCGTATCCAAAACTACATCATCCCTTTGAGATTCACTATCCTTTCCTGAGAAATGGGCGTACCACTGTCTGTCTTAACTGTTTTATGGAATTATTATGAAGACTGAATGAAACATCGCTTTAAGCTTGTAAAGTGATTCAGTTTCTCACCTGTGAAACAGCTGTGGACCTCAAAAGGAGGTTGCGGGGATCAAATGCGACACTGTACATAAAAGCACCCCACTTTATGTTTGCTAACTTTCTTTGGATTTTTTCCACTATAAATAAACCTCCCCCCAAATTTCAGAACTAAATACATGTTATGACTGAAAGAACTCCAACTGGTAATTTCAAAAGAACTTAAAGGAATACAAAACTACAGCCCTGGATGGTGTGGCCCAGTGGGTTGAGAGCCGGCCTGAGAACCAAAAGGTCACTGGTTTGATTCCTGTCAGGACACGCTTCTGGGCTGTGGGCCAGGCCCCCGGTTGGGGGATCTCAACTGTGTGTGAGAGGAAAACGATCAGGATGTTCCTCTCCCTCTGTTTCTCCCTCCTCCCCTACTCTCCAAAAATAAATAAATAAAATCTTTAAGAAAAAGAATACAAACCACAGAACTGTTCTGTGTGTCAGAAGCTCCGGTCATAGCTCTATGAGCTCTACAGCTTTGGACAAAGAGTTTAACCCTCTCCAGAAATGAAGGACAGGGTGACCCTGAAAGCCACCCCCCCAGCCGTTAGGTCCCCCGATGCAAACGCGCCGAGTGCTCCGGCTCAGAGCCCCCCAATGCCATCTCTGCCGGCGCCTGCTACGTTCACATCAGTTGTTCCCACTCGGCCTTGTCCTTACTCGAGTTCTGTGAAATAACGAGTCTGCTGTAACGACTACTTCTACGTTGAAACGAATCAGCAAGATAGAGCAACCTCTCTCCCTTCCAAAATCCAAAGGTTTAAACAAAGGAACACTAGCCACTGCCAGTAATTTTTAAATTATGACCCTTACGAAGCACTGGATGTTCCGAGGGCTCCCTCAGGGGGCAGCCAGGGCCAAGACTAAGAGGACAAGGCCCCCAGCCCTCAACCCCACGTCACTCGGAGCGGCATTTCCTTCCCCTGTTCCACGTGTGGAGGCGTCGACACTGTGCTTCTCAGCACGAGGCTCTGACACTGACGGTTTACACCACGGCAGATGAGGTTCACCCTGATTTCTCACGGCAAAGTCTAAGACTAAAATAAAAATGGGGCTCCTATGAAATATGTGTTAGTAAGAAACTAAAGTAATCAACTAAAGACCACAGCTGAACCTAACAAGGGCGGTGAGCCACAGTCCTTATCGGTGAATATCTGTCCTTGGGAGACAGACCCCCAAGAAAATCAGAAGAACAGACAACAGAAGCCTTACCTCATGCGCACAAGCAGAAATGTGAGGAAAATCAGAAGCCAACACTCTATTCTTTCTAAAAAGAAGGAAATCAAATGATAAAATAAAGACAACAAAGAAAAGACCTTACCTGATTCCGTTCCCTTTTCCCAGCTGATGGTAACCAGAAGCTAAAGAGAGGAAGAGAATAACAGTAAAGAAAACAATAAAAGAGGTGGTAGGAACATTATAGGCAGGAGAAGACCAAACACTGTTAGCATAATGAATTGAATACAAAGAAAGAAATGGGGAAAGATGGAACTGGAGGAGAAAAGGAAAGAGGCATTAAATGTGTACAAAGGTTTTTGCAGAAAGTAACTCTTCAAAGGAAAAGGCCTTGTACCGGAATGTAAAAGGCCACAAACTCTCCCGACAAACCAAAGATTACTCCTCAGCTGTGCAGTGACAGAAGGACCCCCAGTTCAACAAGGGCATGAACTATACATATGCCTTGTCTATTTCGTAAATTAAAAATCTACCCAGGCTGGAGAGGTAGAGGATCGTAACTGGGAGGGACCATGACGTGTGTAGGAGACCAGACTGGCACAAGAAGGGGTGGAATGACTTCCCCAAAGCTACAAACAGGCTTTTGAGCTGTGCTTATCACAGCAGTTAGAACAAAAAGATATGTCTCTATATAGAGGTCTCAAAATGGGAAGAGAATATACGAAAATGTAGAGGCTATCAAACATTTTGAACAAAAAAAATCACGAGACACAAAAATATAACATTTTTATTGGGGGCTACTTTTATAATATATCACCTATAAATATAAAAAGCAACAAAATAAAAACTACTTTAGGAAGGGAAAAATAACCACTCGTACAGGGTTAGGGCAGTAGCCATGTTGACTATCACCAAGCACAAATCTTTAAGATCTCCTCTTTCAGCTCTGAAAGTCCGATTTCTAGGTTCCCTTACAACGCCTTCCTCTGCCTCCTTCTCCTAGGAACAGACTATAGTAGTCAGCAAATACATAAGCACTTACTCTTTCTGCCGAGAGTCACTAACAATGTGGCCTATCCTCTCAGAACCCAAAGCACTTATGCTGGTCTCCTGCAAAGACAAGAAGACAAGAGTGTCATCTAACCGCAGAACAAATACAGGAAGCACAACCTGTCAATCGAGCTCACACTTTCCCATAACAGTGCCAGCAACTTCAAAGGCGCATGTCGAATGTCAGTCCTAACCAGTCTTAACTGACAGCAACTGTATTTCTTTTTATGGGAATCTAACTTAGGAGTATTTCATGTTACCCTGGACTTATTTTTCTCCAGTGTTCCAATAAACGTCATTTTAAATATTATTTAATGTATATAGTATTTTATTAATAGTAATACCTCCTGGAGTTACTAAAGTATACAGAAATAGAAATACTTCTTTAAAGCAATTTGACAACAGCTAATTTGTAGGAAGCTGGCAGCACACAGAGCCCCCAGAATCATCTGATTACAGCCCGACAGGCTTCACAAGGAGGCGTTCAGAGTCCTCGCTGCTGACAGACACACATCAGAGGACTTTCGCAACTTATAAAAACTGTCGCCCCATACTTTGTCTGTTAAATGTCATCTTTTAAGTAAAAGTAGTAGTTTGTATAAATTAAGTTTGTAAATTTGGGTTTCTCAAGATTGCAATATGAAACGTTACCATAACACCACAAGCAATTCAGAACTAATCATCTCCAAAACACTGGAAACTGACAGGAGGTGCTCGCCCTTCATTTACTGTGAGCACATTCATGCGAGTATCTGTTGCGGCCCCTGGGGACGCACACCAACAGCACAGGCATAAGAGCTGTGCACAGTACCAGCGCGTGTTGAGATGGGAGAGCATAAGGCATGAGCGTCAAGAATGTCAAGGCTGTTACTCACACACATTTGTTTCTGGGTAAATATTATTATCTGCATTCAATCTATGTGTATAATTAGCTTAAACATTAGATAACACATTCTGAACTAGCTACAGAAACATTAATTTGAGGTCAGATTCTGGGCAGGAGTGGAGCTAAATGAAAAGGTTTCACATACTGAATTCTTCACATCCTTCATCCCTTCCTTATGCCTGTGCCTCTCGGTCACAGACAAAGCCACAGTAGTGGGGCCCAGGGAGAAGATGGGTGAAAAATGAGCTATTTGTTACAGCAGAAAAATTATTAACTTAAAGTGCCGTAATGTTTAAATTTACAGTTTATTACTGCGTAAATTACAAGCAGTACTTTGCGTAATTAGCAGCTCACTGGCAGAGAGCTGTGAATGAAACTCATTATTTATGATTACAATTTAGAAAAAGAGAAGAGGGATGGGGGAGGGGAAAGGAAGACAGAACAGTGACCTCTGCTAAAAATGACAAATATCCCTTTAAGGTGATGAAGATGAATTAAACATGTAAATATCATTCTATTCTTTTGAAATCCTTAGAGATGCCCAATAGGTCCTAGTTTTCTTCCAGACAAGCTAAAGGGTGCCTTCAAGATGAGCTTATTTACTTTCATGGAAATGGAAGGTTCCTATTTTATAGGAGCCGGAACACAGTAAGGTAGGAGGTAGGAAGAACATATGTCAAGCTTAACAAAGAAAGAGGAAAAAAAAATCAAACCATGTCTCTGTTTCCTACTCCCAGCCTCCAGCTCCCCTCCACCCCACGTCCACTCCCACCCTGCTGGCTGTCACAAACACGTACCCAGAAGAGCAAGAGCATCCTTTTACTGCTGGGAAAACAAGTGATCCAAAAGAAGGTGGTATCATTCTTTCAATAACCAAATGTCTTTCTAATTAGACGTTTGAAATTGAATTCAAAGATAAAAAGAATCTAAGTCCACATGGAAATAAAGAGGCTCATTTCTTCTGTACTACTGAAACATAAAAAAAAACCATAGTCCCCTAATTAAATGATAAAACAGTAGCTCTGTGAGGGCAGGCAGACCGTGGCCCGGACCACCACAAGTCCAGCTGGGCACAGAGCCCATTGAGTAAACCAAGGAATCAGGGCTCCAAAATGCTCTCCGCCCCTCGCTCTTCACCCACCACCATCTTCTCTGAGTATGAGCCCCAGTCTGAACCTACAGTCAATCTCAAAGCTAAGTAAGAAATAAATAATTGTTAAAATTTAAATTAAAAAGAGTAGACCTGGGTTTGATTCCCTGCTCTGCCACTTGTAACTGGATCACATCAGACATTACTGAACTTCTTTGAACCCAAGCTTTCCCACTCGCTAGCAGGGAGTAGCACCTGTTTCACAAGGTGGTAAGGAGGGTTAAGTGAACTGAGTGCCCAGCACAATCCTTGGAAAGGTGAACTGAGTAACTGGTATCTATTCCTCTGCCATGAGGGAGTTTTGAAATTTGGTAACAAGGTTTTCCCAGTTTTTTCTTTTGTAATGAATTCTAGAATAAAAGACCAAAGACAGGATAGAAGAAGCATCCATGAATCCAGTAAGAGTCATAAAGAAGCCAAGAGTATTTTAACTTATAATAAGATTAGTCAAAAGAGTAGAAGAGACAAAAGACCAGGCCTGCAGATTTATAGACAACAGATACTGCCCTGGCAACGTCTGCTTTGTCGGAATTTCTACATGAATTAAACTTCATCCTTTATGTGTGTATCCATTCACATGCTATATAATGTTTACTCTTAAGAACTTGCAAAATATCCCAGCTGGCTCAATGAACTCCAGGGTGTTCTGCGGCGCCTCTGACTGCCCAGAAGGCGCACAGGCCTATGGGAGGCATGACCCTCCCGCTGGGCCTGGCAAACAAGAAGAGCCATCACCTTCCCGACGAGCCGTCTTCGTCCCTTTCGGAGGCACCGTGCTGCGGCTCCGGGCAGGCGATTCAGGCGGGCGTGGTACCCTGAAAAACAGAAAGTCCTCGGTAACTAAGTGGAAGATTCGTTAGCAATGACATGCAGCACACCAGATGCCGTGCCACCCAGGATCTACTGGACTGACCCTTAAACTAGTGTCACTAGGCTATCTGTGAAGGATTTATTATTCCCGGCATGTCATTGACCTTTGACCAAGGCATCCTCCTCCGTAAAAGAGGGATCGCCTCTTGCTCAGTCCTATCGTACAGGGGTGCTTTGAAACCAAACTGAAATAGCACATGGAAGGTACTAGTAAATTGAAAAAAACTAGACAAATATAAAGTATAATCAACAATTTCTAATTATAAGTTAATGACTAGTTATTACGCAAAACCATTCTAATCCATGAAATAATGGTAAAAATAGCCTGTATAATCTAGGCACATTTTTCCATCTGTTGCATGTGTTCTGCACACAGAAAAGACAGCTGGAAATGTTACTAATGTCACACTGGAATGTAACACACCAAAATGTTACCGATGACGCTGTCTCTGGTCTCTGGGTGTGTGGTTACAGGCCGTTTGAGTTTCTTCTTCTTCCTGTTCTTATTTGTGTGTGTTTTAACTAGTCCATAAAGAACTTTTAGATACAGTCATTGAAATGCTCAATAAACGTTAAGGTAGCAAACATCGAGCCTCAGCCAGAGAGCAGTCTTTGCCGAGAACCAACTTCTCTGAGAAGGCCTTTCAGTCACTCGATTCGCCCTGACAAAACGCTACGGGAGTTTACAGCTCTGGGTGGAATTCCGACCACCGACTGATGTTCCACAAATACTTGATAACTGACTAACTGGATAATTATTGATTGTTGGGAATCCTATAAATGTATAGAGCTAAAAGAAACCCCTGAAACAGCTTTGTTCAATGTCACAGTATCTTCGGTGCCCCTGACACCCCAAGGAAACGAAGTGACTGTCACGGTCGGAGCTGGGCAGACACCCCCGGAGCTTCGCCACGTTTCCTTCACACTGTCCTAGGCTCTCTCCACCGTCTTGCTATCATCAGTGAAGGGAAAGCAAAGGGATACATATTTGTGTCAAAGTCCACAATAATAGAACTATTAAAATTATTTATTCAAGATCTTATTTATTTTCAGAGAGAGGGGAAAGGAGGGAGAAAGAGAAGGAGCAAAATATCGACGGGTTGCCTCTCACACGCCCCACCCAGGGACCTGGCCCGCACCCCAGGTATGTGTCCTGACCAGGAACCGAGACCTGTGACCTTTCAGTTCACAGCCCAACCCACTGAGCCACACCAGCCAGGGCATTATTAAAATGTTTTAAAGAATATTTGAAAGTCGTCCATTCAGAACGCCCGCTGTAACTTATAAGTGACGTTCTTACTGAAATCTGTTCTCTTCCCAGGTCCCACGCTTCAGGCCGCCTGAAGCACTCAAAAGCCCAGCAGCCACAGAAGGATAAACAGCCACGATGGGCTTCCTGCACCGGCACAAATGGCAACGGAAGCTGAAGGAATGCCCTGCTGATACATAACCTGAGTATCCAGAAAATGATTTAAGAGAGAACCTCATGCTTTGAGACTCACCCTTAAATCCTCTAGAAAAATCCCTGGACTAGCTCCAAAATTCAGACAGTTCGTGTGTGCTCAAGAGGGAGAAGAGCATGTACACCATGGGATGATTCCCCCCAGACAGAACCATGAAGGTGTGAAGTGTATTTGGTCTCCTCAGAACTTACCCCTCTGAGCTGGCCGAGAAGGCAGAAGAAATGTGGGGTCTGACCGTTTGTCCAGTCCAGAGTCCATCCTTTCTACTTCGGCGCGATGATCGGGAGCCCACTTGGGCAGAAGGTTAGGGACAGTGAATCCCGGGACGCATTCTCCCTCATAGAACCAGTCACTCTGCTCGTCATCCCCTAAAATAGAGAGAGCATCTTCCTTAGCTGGAATTCAGCACATTCTACCAAAGGCCACACGGCAGGATGACTTCTCAGTGCTACAGGCTTAAGTGTATTTTTAAATAAAGTCAAAGTACAAAAACTTGTTTTGATCCTTCTTGTTGATCCATATTATGATGAAAACTGGGGCACCAAAGTAGTTTCACATAAATTTCATAATGTGTTATGCTGGCTCAATGAACAAAAATAAAGCTACCATTTTAACAATACAAAAATTCACTAAGCCCTTACCACCTACCAGGATCCACACTAAAAAATCTTTAAGTATGTTATTTCTTCCAAACCTGACACTAGCTCCAACTTACAAACGAGGCAACTAAGTCCAAAGAGGTCAAGGTCAAGGTCAAGGTAGTATATGATGAAGCCAAAATTGGAACTCAAAGCCTAACTCCAAAGCCTCTACCACAAAATTAAACTGCTTCCTATATACCATTCGCAGCAGTATAAATGAACTTAGGGATTCGAAGCCCACAAATGTTTCTCAACTCAGAACTAGCTGTTCCTGGAAGGATTTCCTACTACATTTGCATTTCTCATAGTAGGTAAACACAGAAAATATACTCATACCTTGTTTGTCCCTTGGTACCTCATTGATGGGACAGAAAGTCATCTTGATACTAGCAATACAAGCTACCAAGAAAAAACTAACCAGAGAAAAATAATATAATCCCCTACAGTGGATGTCAAGAAGGTACGTCATTCGCCCGAGGCTACCCTCTTCGATGACAACGAAGTCAAGACTAGATCCACACATCCAGTCTCTTGGTTCGAACTTCTTTCTGTTGGCCAAAATGATACCATCTCAGTTTCCACTAGTTTAGTCCTGCCAACAGAGTAAGACAGATAACTCTGTGTCTGCTGCCACACCCCCCTTTCAAAAGGCAAGGATGAAGGAAATTATTTCGAGAACACCTGGGAAGTTCACAGTGCGTTCATTCTCTAACATATCCTGGATCCCAGGGACGGTGCTCAGGACATGCTAATCACATGAACAGTCAGATTCATGGGCCACGACCACCCAGGAATGAGAGCTCTTCAGTCGCTGTGGAGATCACTAAACGGGGAAACTAAAGCTGCACAGCGGTGAAGAGCAGCGGATGCTGCCACCAAACAAGTTAAAGTGTGCCCTTAGGAACACACCACCGGCAGCTGTTTCTGGTAAACAGTGGTTCTCGACCGTTAGTGTGCAGCAGAAGACGAGGGGTGTTGCTGAAACAGACTACTCGGCCCCACCCCCAAAGTTTCTGAGTCCAGTCTGAACAGGACAGAAAATGTGCACTTCTGACAAGTTCCCTAGTGATGCCAGGCTGGTCTGGGGATCCACAATGTGAGAACTGTGTATACAGATGAATTAAAGACGGGCACTAGAATTAACAATAATCAGTTTCTCTGAATGTCAATGTATTAATTCCTCTCTTATTCATAAGCATTCTTTGGGCCATGGACTAAAACAGTATATTTAGCTAGACCATGTTTCCTGATGACAAATGGCAAACCATCATGGAATTCCTTTTGGTTCTCCAGCATTCAATGAAGACTTTTAATAACATGAGAAGAGACTCACTGAACGGGAAGCAACCTTGTGAGATCATCTAGACCCACAGTGGTCAGCCCACACGGTGCCCACACGGTCAGGCATCACACGGTGCCTGACGCGGGAGCTCCTCGAAAGAGCGCTGCCAGGGAGCAAGGGAGAGGCTGAGTGGACCAGCCTCTGGACGCCCCGCTCCTGCGGGGCCTTGTTTTAACCAAACCGGGGTTAGCTGTTTTACAATTTGAGGTTCAATGCACACCTCTGTTTGAGGGGAAAAAAGATATTCTTCCCTTCAACAGGGCTTCCCAATAATTATTTACTAAGAGTTCGCTATATGCCAGGCAATGTGTTACCTATTGTGGTTGCAAATAATTTTTTTTTTTAATTTTCTGTCTTTGAAAAACTTCAATGGAAAAGACACACAACTACAAACAACAATGTATTGCAGTAAGTGGTGAGAAAATAGCAAGTACAGGGAAAGAAGAGAGGAAGGACCCTCGGGGAGGGCGCCTAGTGAGAGCACCAGTGGGAACCCCTGTGGGAACCTCGTGCAGTTACATGGGGTAACTGAGACTCCCATGAAGCGACTGTCCACAAAGGTGCAGACAGTGTGGGGAGACAGAAACCAATAAGGGAGGGGGAGCCTCCCCGGAACCCACACAGTGAGGAGCCTTCACCGTTATTAAACCTGAAGCAGCATGGGAAAGAATGGCTATCAGAGCCCAGGGAGGGAGCTGGGGTCACGGAGGGATGCCCAGCAGGAGCGGGGCCTTCAGCAGAAGGACGCAACCCCAGCCAACCGGCAGTACAATGGAAAGGCGGTCCAGGGGAGCTGGACTCCAGTGTGCTGGACTGCATTAGCATTCCCACCTCATCACCGCTCCCTCGCTGTGACAGAATGACGCGCCCCTGCCCTCTGCCAGAGGGTTCCACAGAGCCCTCCCCCAGAGGCAGAGCACACTTCCTCAGCCCACAGGCACTGGCCTTGGTCATATGACCTGCATTAGGTAGAACATTAATGAATGTGATTGAAGCAAAAGCTTTAAATATTCATACACGGTGGGGCTTGGTCACTTGGCATTCAAGTCCTCTGCCATAAGCAGTCCCTGAGACATATACGGCCAGTGCTTCTTTAGCCTATTGCCCAGAATAAGATGCACTGAGTAGACACAAACCTAACTCAAAGCCTGCACACCAGCTGAGCCAGAGCAACTGAACCTCAGCTAACCCCCAGCCCCACAGTAAGAAATAAAAGTAAAAAGCCACTGAAATGTTGGGGTTGTTAAACAGTATTGTCTTAATAAAAACTTGACTCTTCCATCCAATCTCATTCACCTTACTCCCTCCCTCCGTTCTTCTGCTCATGCCTCCTTTTGGCCAAACCCATGAGAGCAAAAAACCTACTGATGTAGTCCTTAAATAAGCCCCAGAGAGGAAAAAGGAGAACTGTGTCTTGGATAAGCAACCACTCAAGGAAGAGTGAGGATGAGATTTCAGGCAGAGGCCAGTATAACAAAGCCATGGAAGCGGGAAAGAACGTGGCTTTGTACTAGAACTCTAGGCCTCTAAAATATCACCAGAATGTGTGGCGTTGAGAGGCAGACAAAAAAGAAAGCTGGGGCTACAGAATATCCCAAATCTCTCATGATAAACCAAGGATTCCTTATCAGTGGAAAGATTTTCCAAAGGCCCGAAGCAATGTGTTGTAAGAGGCCCACACTTTCTTGCACCTCCGTACAATTAACTCTGCATCATGACCTTTGAAGAGATATATTATGATACTTCATGGCATTCAGTAAAAGCAAAGAAAAAGAGTAATTCTGAACAGTATGTACCAGCTCATTCACGGAAAGGCAACCAGACTTTCCCAACACAAGGTAAGAAAGACTAGACCCTGGCTACAACCTATCAGGGAACACACACACACACACACAACACCTCGACTAGCACCAAGCTCCCTGTGAAACAGAAGGGAACAGAAACGTGCTCACAACCTCCACGTGGGGTAAGCTTAACAACACCGCCCACGCCCACAACTCTGAGGCATGGGGGAGACACCATGGGACTTTGAGAAGTTGCTTTTGACTAGAACCAAAAATATCCTCATGTATTACTCTTTCTTTTGGATGTTAAGACATTCTTGTTTTCACATAGGGAGAGTTATTTTTATAATCTTGTTTATAAATGGTCACAGTGTTCTGGGTGAATATGTTATAGGACACATCTTTCTAAAGTTAAAATTCCTGAAGTTTAGCATAGAACACTGTGAATAGAGCCAGTGTATGTTCCGTATCTGTCCTTTATTTTTACTCCCTAAACAGTAATAGCTCCATGGTCTCTCCAAAAGCAGGTCTGGAACCTGCGTCTCACAGGCCCAGGAGCCCTTCCGTTACTAGGGGCTTCTCCATATCAACCAAGACACGTAGCCACCATGCCTCCACCCCTCAATCACCTAACCCTTCTAGTAGAATCACTGATTTCAGAGCTAGAAGGGACTTCAGAGATCTACAAATCCTGTATTTAGAGTGAGAAAACTACTCCAAAGGAGCTATTTGAAATTCTCGTTTGTACACAGTTAGTGTGGCCCTGAGTAAGTGTACAGGACAAGAACAAAGTTTCAAATTACTGTTTAGGGAGTAAAAATAAAGGACAGATACGGAACATACACTGGCTCTATTCACAGTGTTCTATGCTAAACTTCAGGAATTTTAACTTTAGAAAGCTGTGTCCTATAACATATTCACCCAGAACACTGTGACCATTTATAAATAAGATTATAAAAATAACTCTCCCTATGTGAAAACAAGAATGTCTTAACATCCAAAAGACAGAGTAATACATGAGGATATTTTTGGTTCTAGTCAAAAGCAACTTCTCAAAGTCCCATCCTTGACCCCATGGCCCCCTAAATCAATGAATCTCAAAGTCTAAATTGTTTGCAAAAAATACACAGTTGGTATTTGTGAAAAATGCAGATTCCAAAAGCAAACTCTAGACCTATTTGATGTCTAGGAGTTCGGGAATTTGCAGTTCTACCAGTTCCCCAAATGGCTCTTGCATGCCCTGAAGTTCGAGGGCCACTGCTGCGGACAACCATTGTTACTCTCAGTGACTCGCTCCTATAACCATTAAGGCCTTCCCAGGGCTGGGTCTACATTACCTTGCCGTCCCTCGTCGTTCGTGAAGAGGCCTGGGTCACTGCTGCTGCACACACTGCTGGTCTCACTGAAAGGACAGAGAGCAAAACGAAGACGACACGTCAGCTGCAGTCAAACAAACATGAAGCACCACCCACTCTTCTTCCGGTTTTCACATCCAAAGTTTCCCTGATTCCATTGGCCAATTGGAAACATAAAGTTCATGGTTAGGTCACAGGGGAAAGTTTTATTAGGAAGAGAAGAACTCTAAAACTTTTATTTATATTTCAAAGTACTTGTAAAAATATTTAAAGTTATTTTGTTAGTTTAGCCTTAGAAAGTTATTTATTAAGGGTCATAATCTCAACATTGCTTGTTATATTAAATGACATAAATTTACAAATTCACCAATTCTATTTTTAAATTTCATTGACTACCAGTTTTTAATAACACTATCCAAATTTATGACATCTAGCATCTCTCAAGTTTTTTCTCCCATTTACAAAGCAGCAAACAAAAATCCATGAGCAGGAAGAAAAATCATGATGACAAGGTTGTAATTTCTAAATTTAATGTCTTCCTTCACCTCAAGCATATACAACAAAGCTAACTTTCAAAAAGGAAGATATAAAAATATAAAAAGGAGCTCCACTTGAACTCATTGCAACAAAACTTTTGCCCCATGGATTTCCACCCGATAAGTTTCATTTTCCAAGCTATTCCAATTGAATCTGCCCCTTCTCACGTTGCTTTTCTGTCACACAATCATCAAATTTGATTTATCTGGTTCAAAAAAAATATCTCTACTCTTTTTAATATTAGCTGTTTCCTTGACTGCGAATGTTTCCTTTCCAGCTATTTCATTTTTTTCACCTGTTCTAGAAGATGGAAGAATCCAAAGCAATGAAGAAGCATCCTCACCATGCTGCATGAATCCCAACCTACATTTCTGATTCAAAAATCTGAAAACATTTTGTGTTTTGCAGCGTTTCCAAATATCTTGCCAATACTAAATCCTAAAAAACCTGGCTAAGTAGCCACAGTCTCCTCACTTCAGCTTGTCTCTGAGTAACAGATACAAAAGATCTGTTGCAGCAAGAGCCAATAAAACATATCCCGTCTCTTTCAAGGTTCTTTCATTGTATTTCCTTCTGTGTTTGTAAGTGGGAACATTCTCAGTCATCATTGTAAGAAATCCTACAAAACGACACCACTGGATCTTGAGGACTGAAAATCTTCAAAGCTTGCGCTTACATCCAGGAGACACCCTCACAGACTACTTACTGCAGTCTTCCTGCTTCTGGGTTCAAAGACCTGTGCCCGCGACCTCCATGGTCCTGGCTCCGTGTGCCCCCTGACTTCATAAGCACACCACTGCTCTAACTCCAGTGAGTCTTCACTGCACACCCTCTCGGCCCACTCTCATCTCTCCTCAAACACAGAGCAAATTTTACATTTTCAACTCATCTTGGTATGAAGGAGGCCTTCAAAAGCACACGAGGCCGTGGGACAGATACTCCATGACTGTATTACATTCTTTATTGGCTAGCGGTCTCACAGACTGATTTAGGGGTTAGGAAACGACAGCCAGTGACCTATTTTTGTACAGCCTGTGAGCTAAGAATGGTTTTCAGTTTCAAATCCCCGGGATGGGGAGGGGAAAATCAAAAGAAAAATATTTTGTGGCATGAGGAAGTGATGAGAAATCCGACACATAAAGTTTTATTGGAATAGAGCCACGTTCGTTCATTTATACATCCTCTATGTCTTCTTTCACACAACAAATGCAAAGTTGAGTAGCTGCAAAAGAGAACATCAGCCCACGAAGCCCTAAAATATTTACTCTGACCCCTGCTCTGCCTATGCTACAAGTCCTAGCCTGCGATGTCTATGGTCCCCTCTGTTTGAATATTTCCAAAGAAAATATTAAAGCTGTTGCTTTATTACAAAGTCTTGTCGATTCTTTTCCCTGTTTATTTCCAGTCACTGGTAAGCATTAAGACATAAGTGCTAACTTGATCTTTTTTGCATGGATTCCATTCTTTCCTCATACTCTAAATAAAAGGTGCAAGCTCAAAGAAATCTGCTGAATCAAGAAAGGTGTTGGTAACCTAAACCCTTCCTGTCGTTCTACGTTTTCTATTTCTGTCAACAGCATTTAAGGAGATTCCATGTTCTTGAAAGAGCTTGCTGGACTACTCTCTTCTATAAATTTCTACATAACGTTAGGGTAATGGTAATGATGTCACAGAACCATCACCAGGGTTTTAAAACTGTGATCAAGAGAGACACGTATTTTCTTCATCGAGAAAATGATTTATGTCTTACAGAACACCTAGTTAAAAGTATCATCATTCTTACCTGTATCTGGAAATGACTATTTCATCTGAGAGCACCTGTTGACTCTATCCTTCAGAACAAATTGCATTGTAGAAATCTAATGATATGTAAGAAATTGCCAGCATAATTTACCGAAAAGGAAAGGGACAGAGACTCATGGCATGTTGGCACAAAAACACTGTAACGAGACAGCACACAAAATGTGGTGCTAGCTATACAGTAGGATCAAATATTTCCCCTTCCAAGTTACAGGCCAGAGCTGTCCAGTCCTGTGGCCTTCCTTCATTTCTGGCTCAGAGATGATGATTTTCAAATAAAGTCATCTCCAAAGCAGACATACAGATGAACAATAAACATGCAAAGATGCTCAACATCGTCAGAGAAATGTTAAAACCACAATGAAGCAGCACCTCACACCTGTCAGAATGGCCATCATCGATGAGTCAACAAAAAAGTGCTGGCTGGGATGCAGGGCAAAGGGAACCTCAGGTACTGTGATCCGCTGAAGCCTCAGCCTTTATCCTAAGATTATTAATGTACCTTAGGATAAACTAACAAGACAGGGCCCACCAAACCAGTAGGTAATGAAACCCCATCTTTTCCTAAAACGGCAGCAATGCCCAGAGGCATCGACGCCTCCTGTTTTTGCCTCGGGAGCTGTTCTGTACTGCTTGTTTTTACTTGATTGTAATCTATAAATAGTTTGCATACAAAACTCTTCCTAGAATATATCTACACTATTTTAGAACAGAAGAGTATTAAACCTACAAACAATTTATACATCACTCAAAAAAAAACTCAATCCCCAATGGAACCAATAAAAAGTCTCTAACAGAAAAAGGAGGGATTCCTCCCACTATTTCCCCTAAACTTCCCCTCATTCACTTAGTATTTATTATTTACCATATACCAGACACTGCTATAACCAGCACTAAAAGTTTAAAAGAAAACATGTTGACCACAATTTAAATGCATGCATTTTATTAAAAACTTAGTGTAGACTATGGGAGAAGTATGTGAAAAGGTACAGAGAACAATGCTTTCCAGTGAAAAATATACAGGTCTCCAGATCCCAGGAACCACGAGATGGCAGCTGGCTCGTCAGGCAAACTAGTAGAACTGAAATTACTCGAGAGTTGTGCAGGCCCCCTTCTCTGCCTAGCCCAGGCAGAGAAAAGACCCTCCACCCACAGCACAGAGATCCTCCTACAGCCATGAAGAGGGACAGTCAGGCTGCAAAGGAAGCACCTTGCTCATTTCAACGTCCCCAGTGCCTAGCCCAGCACCTGGCACATAACAGGCGTCCAGTAAATGTTACGGAATGGAATGAACCCACTCAAATCGGCTCCGTTGCTGCCCCTTGCTTTGCCTTTGCAGTACGTCACTTTACCTCTCCAACACTATTTCCCTGCATATCAAATGCGGATGGACTGTTCTGAGGATGTGATAATACAAGGCAAGTGAACCCACTTTGTGACGAAACACTAGAGCATTATACAAAGGCAAAGGATGAAAAGATTAGAAAGCTACTTCTAGAGTACTAATTCTTGTATGTGCCCAAATATTTTTATTTTAGAAGCTAAAAATAGTAATTTCCTCACTGACACTCTTCTTAAAATAGTGATCTAAATTCTATGGGGACTCTCAATAATACCTCAATTAAAAAAATTCTATGGGTCTTGAATCTATTCTCATTTTAAATGAAAAAATGAAATGTAGCCTATGAAATTTAGTACTTTTAAAAATTATTCTTTATTGATTATGCTATTACAAGTTGTCATGATTTTCCCCCCTTTATATTCCCTCTACCCAGTACCCCCAACTCACTTAGGCAACTGCCCACCATTGTTCATGTCCATGGGTCATGCATATAAGTTCTATGACTACTCCATTTCCTATGCTGAACTTTACATCCTGTGGCTATTCTGTAACTACCTATCTGCACTTCTTAATCTCCTAACCAATCACCCATTCCCCCACACCCCCCGTCCCATCTGGCAACCATGAAAACACTCTCCATATCCATGATTCTATCTCCGTTCTGTCTGCTTAGTTTGTGTTTTAGATTCAATTGTTGACAGATTTGTATTTTTTGCCATTTTATTGCTCATAGTTTTGATCTTCTTTTTCTTAAGCAAGTCCCTTTAACACTTCATATAATAATGGTTTGGTGATGATGAACTCCTTTAGTTTCCTCTTGTCTGGGAAGCTCTTTACCTGCCCTTCCATTCTAAATGATAGCTTTGCTGGGTAGAGCAATCTTGGTTGTAGGTCCCTGCTCTTCATGGCTTTGAATGTTTCTTGCCAATCCCTTCTAGCCTGCAAAGTTTCTTTTGAGAAATCAGCTGACAGTCTTATGGGAGCTCCCTTGTAAGCAACTCTCTGCTTTTCTCTTGCTGAAGATTCTCTGTCTTTAACCATTGGCACTTAAATTATGATGTGTCTTGGAGTGGGCCTCTTTGCATCCCTCTGGTTTGGGACTCCCTGTGCTTCCTGGACTTGTATGTCTATCTCATTCACCAAATTAGGGAAGCTTTCTGTCATTCTTTTTTCAAACAGATTCCTAATTTCTTGCTCTTTCTCTTCTCCTTCTTGCACCCCCTATGATGCAAACACTGGACCTCTTGAAGTTATCGCAGATGCTGCTTATACTATCCTCATTTTTGTGGATTCTTTTTTCTTCTTATTGTTCTGATTGGTCATTTTTTGCTTCCTTATGTTCCACCTAATTGATCTGATTTTCAGCTT